TATAAATACATATTCAGTCAAAGCTGAAAAATGTCAAAATGATAACTTAAAATGTGCAAACATATCTAGGTATATAAAACTTCTTTTTTTTTTACTTTGTGAAATTCAGTTTTTGCTGCAAAAATGTAATTTAGAAAATCTTTTAATTAGAGCTCAGACTAGGAGTGGGATTTCAGACAGGAAAAATCTTATTTTAGTGATCTGCAAAGGGAAAAACACAGAGGAGAGTGCTTTTGATAAATGATAAAATGGTCTGCCATAGCCCATGTCATATAGACTTGCACATTAACTAGAGCAGCAATCTTCTCTTACGCCATCCCCCTCCCCCTCTGCAGCCATAGTGCTGTTGCTCTGTCTTTAAACACATTCCCATTTTTCTTTTAATTTCTGCATTCAAATCCAGAAATGGGCGTTTCATGTTGCCTGTTGTCATGGTGACTCTACGCATCTGGGCTCAACTGATAATGGCGTTTCATAGTTGTTGTGCACATCAACCCTGAGTGGACCTATATAGAGTTGATTAAACTAGCTCACAGCGGCTTTTATGAAACTAAAAAACCCAAAGTTTCTAACCTAAAGCTAGATCAATTCAGAATTGAGGATTTGAGTCTGAGTTTGTTAAACCTGCTTTGTGAAACGGGCCTCTGCTCTGGTTGCATTACAAAGGGACATTCTCTGCACATAAATCGGAAAGTCCTAGTGGTAAATATCTCCCTTTGAATATTTAGTTTCACATTAAGCCTGTTGAAGAAGATCTTTGCTATTTAGCTCCTCTTAACACTTTATGACCAAAGTAACCCTTTATACAAAAAAGCTCAACAACCAGCATTTTAAAAAAATTTGACCCTCATCTTTATTTAAGGCTGCTTGTTGATTTCTATTATTTGTCCACAGCTTGAATTACCTTATCAGATAACCCCAAACTGATGTTATTTAGAACACAACCCATCAGAAATGATTCATTTACATGGCATCATCAGAATGTATGTCATGAATGTTTTCCTTTTTGTTTATTTAAAAAAAATGCAAATTGAAAAACTAAAGCATTGCAACAGCGTGAGTTCAATTAAAGAAGATAAATATATACTGAAAGTGACCAAACATGTTTTCTAATCAGCAGGTTTGAAACTAAAACGGATGCGCTAACATTGATTCTCGATTACTTTAACGAAGATGTTAGAAAACACACACAAATGATGCAGTGAGACAGAGTGTCTTTGAGCACGGACACCTATGGGAGCACAGAGAAAACAAAACAAACTCACCTCAAAGCAGAAACCGATAAGAAGGAGAGACAGAGTGTAAAAGCAAGAAGGGTGCTAATACTTAATGATGGACATTTCGATGAAAACTAACCTGATTTAGCAGACATACATAGGCAGAGGTCTGATGTGTTGAGAGGTTAACCTGACTCTTGATACTAAAACAGGTCAGTCATTCTGCATGTATAAAACAAACAGAATAGCCAATCTTAAAATTTAACAAACACTTTTCAGTCACTGAGGTTAAAAGTTGTCAAATAGAGCATTTCTGCAGGGTTTATTTAAGGTTTTTGGTCAATAAGAGCTTTCAGCCATCAGCTCTGTTTGCTTGGAGCATTGATACAATAAAATAAAGACCCAGTATTTAATGAGAGCTGCTAAAGACCAATTTAAGAAGCTTTCTGCTTGTGTGTGAGATCATTATTTTTCTGGAAGGAAGGTGTGTTTGGAAATCTTTGTTCTGGCTCACATCACGGCGCCCGGCTTGTTCATCTTCAGGCTGAAAGCAAGAGAACTCCAAGAAAGTCTCAATAATGTGACTCATTGGGTTCATCACTTTTCTTTGTGCCGTGCAGTCAGAAAAAAAAGAAGCAAAGAGACAGCATTCAGGAACACTTTAATAGGTTTTGCAATTTGTATACAAAAAAAAAAAAACTGACAAAAAGAAAAAAAAAGGAAATTTCCTCTACAATGATAGAAAAATATGAGACATCACCTGTTCAGGTGAAGGAGAGACTCTGTACAGTTTCTGCTTTTGGGTCGGGAAAACAACAAGAACATGAATTCAGAACTTCATCTTTTTTTCTTATATTATATACACTAGATCTGTCAAAACATCCTGACCAGTAGGACGAATGAGAAATGCTGCCCTCTAGAGGTTTAGGACTATAACTTCAATCCCAGTTTTCTGAAAGCCCATTCTAGTGCATTTTTAAAGTCTAAATAATGTTGCAGCCTCTTTCATTGTTGAATATTTATTTATACATCCTTCCGTGTTTAATGCAAAACATAAAAATGTCAGAAATATTCAGGAATCTCACTGCAACTATTAAGTTACACTTATAAGCTGGGAAGAGCAGGGACAGCTTCTTGTATTCAAACTGGCAGTTTTAGCATGACATGACAAACAATAAATAACACTTAGCTGCTATTTATTCATAGTGAAGTGCTTATTATTTTGGACAAAGAACACATTTATTGGCACCTTAGTAGTAAAGATGTGTGGAAATTTCTACTCTTCCAGATAAAGGAAAAGTTCAGAGACTGCATGCCTTTTATGCACAAGAATTATAATAATTTTTTTTTCTTCATTATTTTCTGCCTCAGTTATTCTTTATGGAATCTGTATAAAGAAAACAGATGTGGTAAAATATGGGCCTAACTTTATTTACAATATTTAATGTCATGAAGGTGAGAGGTCAGTTCTTAATCAGATGTGCAGAAAGGCAATGCTGATGCATTATTGACCTGAAGCAGCACATCTTCTCACGTTACTGAAGGGAAGAGCGTCAGCTTTTGGTGACATTGTCTGCAGAAGCCGTATTGTTTGTGTCTTTCTATACAGATCCTTACCGAGGATGTTACTGATAGTAGCTGCATCTCCATTGTGTGCAAATCTATGTCGCCATTCTACTCCATCCGTTTCTGACACGCTTTTTCCCAAGCAGTGTCACAATGGGGTGCTAGTGCCAATCCATTGCAGACTGTGTGGAAATCTGTGTGATTTAAAAATTTTTTTAATTTTTATTACGTTTTAAAGGCCTGGTCCACCTCCAACCAAATGGTTGACCAGACAGTTGGAGGGTTAAATAAGAAATCCAATGAAAATGCATGTGAATATGTTTGTGCATGTGGTAAGTCCTGAAAACAAAATGCCAGCAGCCGGGCAGCCCTTCCTGTCACTACCTGATCCGTACCGTAAACACGATCCAAACCCTCGGTTCAAGCATCTGCAACCAGATATACATCTGGGTCACCCTTGATTTTAATATGTAAAAAAAAAACGAAATTACGTTTTTTCCCTCCCCAAAAATAAAAAGCATACTATATTATGTTTTTATGTCTGATTCTGATTCTGATTCTGAAAGGTCAATAATGTATTTCCTGATAAAATAAATGCCTTAAAATCCTTTCTGTTTAATCACTCATCTCTGCCCGATCTGTGACGGAAATGGAATCGCTACTTCAGAAGGCTAACGTTTTCTTCCTTCCACCTTTTACAGTTGCTTTTTGTATCTCTGCTTCTGTCTCCTTGAACCCCAGTCGGCCTCAGCAGATGGCCGCTCACACTGAGCCTGGTTCTGCTGGAGGTTTCTTCCTGTTAAAAGGGAGTTTTTCCTCTCCACTGTCGCTACAAGCATGCTTAGTGTGAGGGATTGTATTTGAGTCAATGAGTCGATGCAATCAACTGGTTTTCCTTAGATAGAAAACTTTTAATCAATTTGACTGTATGATCTGGTTGAACTGTAAAGTGCCTTGAGATGACTTGTGTTGTGAATTGGCGCTATAGAAATAAACTGAATTGAATTAACTTTTTCAGCTTTAGATTTAAACATTAATCTAGTCTTTTTGAGTTTAATGTTTTTCTTTCGTGTTAACATTATGACATATAGTGCGTAACCTAAAAAAGAAACAACTACAATGCAGATAAAGATGGTTTAATCATATTTTGCAGGACTGCTCTAAGCATGTCCAATTGCGAGGTCAGAGAAGCAGTTTACCAAAGAAAATGCATCAAATTCTCTCAGAAAAGTCATAAATGTTTTAAATTGCATTTTTTATTAATGCAAGTATAGAAATAACTACTTTTAGTTTAATAATTATATAATTTCTGGAAACCCGGATGTATATCTGGTCGCACATGCTCAAATGAAACAGAAGACAGTTGAATGAAAGTGATGAATTTTTTTTTTTTTTTATTATTTCTTTCCACAATAATGTGAGAGATTATGCATCCTTTTGTACTTCTTAAATCAGCTGATGCTGCCGGTCTTGATGCAAGACTTATGTAGTATTGCAATATTAGTTTTGTATATCTTTGCTGACTGCCTGATTCTTTAGCCATAAAAGTTGATATATGTTTTGAATTCTTACCACAGATTTTCCCTTGGATTTCCCTTTGCAGCCTTAAATTTTTATTTTTTTTCCACATGCAATCCTCCAAGTCTGGGACAGAAATGTGAATTTTAAGCTGATCTGACTACAGCCTTTCCTTCCATATATTAGCCCAGTCTTTTTCATGGCTTATGGGAAAGTTAAAATTGGATTTAAAATGGCTTTTTTCTACATAAAGATTAGATTTGTGGAATGCCCAGTGTATAATTGAATAGTGGACAAAATCTCCCACCTTCACCTGCGATGTTTGCATCTCTTCCAAAGTTAAAGGTTAATTATTCATCTCTTTTCAGATGGGACGGATGGGAAAGTGACATCCTCCTCCTCCAACATCTTTTCTTTGTCTATTTACAAGGGAGGACGGTCCAGCTGCAGATCAGGTGAGTCATGTGATGTGAAAGTGTTTCCATGGCAATTCTGCGAATTCTAAGAATTTTGATTTGAACATAAATCACCTCTTGGAAGACTAACAATGTTTTTTTTATATAAAAAAAAATGCAATTGTATATATCAAATTTTCCCTTTTGAAAATTTATTTTCATAATAACTTGTGCAATTGGATGGTTAATGGGAACACAGCTACAGACGGAGGCTTTATATTATTAATTTGATTGGGAATACATTTTAAAACATGTCCACAGCTGGTGTGAAATAACCTAACTGAAGCTTCCAGATCATCATACTCCCAGTGCCAGAATCTGTCTTTTGTTTTTCAGATCTTTAGGAAATATAAATAATGAAGGTTTCCTATGTGACCGAAAACAGGAAAAGTGAATTCTGATTTGATAAATGACATTAAAGGGAGAAAAGAACAGGATTGTATGTATCTCTGTACTTCATCTGGAAAATATCTGGTTTATGCTGAAGTGTTGGAGGCCATGCAGGGCTGGTATGTAAAACAGAAATTGGGATTATGTGCGTTTCACTTTTGGTTTACTTACAAAATATACAACATCTGTACACCAATGCCTTTATTTCTGTAATCTCACATATCTGTTATTGTCATTAGCTGGAGTTAAAAACTCCTCATCAGTGTTTTACAGCACTGATCCAAAGACTCTTCAGAAACATGATTTATTGCTCATCTCGCTTTTTTTTCCCTCCCAAAGTTTTGCAGATTTCCTTTTTCCATTTAGATACTCTGGAATGCTTAACATTTAAAGGAGGGAAATCAAGAGGCAACTTTTTTCAAACAAGAAGTGAAGCGTATTGCAGTCAAGCTCCCTTGGATCATTTTGTTCAGGGGGGATTCTAACCCAGTTGTCCCTTATTGCTCCTCCATCTTTTCCCACCATTAGTCATACCACCGTCTCAGAGCTCGAGCCCTTTCCAGTGAAAAAGTCCCAGAAGTTGGCGGCCGGCGATGACTTCCCTTCATCCGACTGCATCTGCCTGACCCAGATGCTGTTCTCGGTGGAGCCGCTCAGACTGGAGCAGCTCCCTCTGCTGCTGCTGCTGCCCAGGGCGAAGCTCATGGCAGCGCCCAGTGCGCCCCGGCGGTCCTGGGGGTCCCCGTCCTGGCTGTGCATTCTGGACAAGCTGGAAGGCTGGGATAGGCTGAGCAGGTTGTGGTGGGAGTGGAACTGACGCATGTGGCGGATGGACTTGGTAGAGCGGCCCTCAGCACCTGAATTCAAAGCAGGGATGGGATTAAAACATTTCTCCAAATGGGGTGTTTAGTTCTCTTCTTTTATTGTTCTTATTTTGTTTTGTTTTTATTGTCTGTATATGTAGTAGGTGTGACTATTTCAGCATTTGTACTTATGTGTATATATTAGAAGTTATACCTGCATAAGTATGTTTATCCAAAAAAAAAGAAGCGAATTGTATTCCTTATTGTGATTATCTTACCATTTGCTTCAATAAAAACAATTTGCAAAAACAAAAAACAAAAAAAACATTTCTCCAGACAGTTGAATGAAAGTGATTAATAATCTGAGAGATTATGCATCCTTTTTTACTTCATAAAACAACTGATGCTGCAGGTCTTGATGCAAGACTTATGGACTTATTGCAACATTAGTTTTTTATATCTTGGCTGACTCTGCTTTAAGCATTATCAGTTAATATACATTTTAAATTCTTGTCACAGATTTTCCCTTAGATTTCTTTTGCAGCGTTAAAATGTTTTTCTCCACATGTAATCCTCCAAGTCTAAGACATAAATGTGAATTTTAAGCTGATCTGACTACAGTCTTTCCTTCCATATATTTGCCCAGTCTTTTTCATGGTTTATGGGAAAGTTAAAATGGGATTTCAAATGGCTTTTGTCTCATCGTTTCTCCATAAAGGCTAGATTTGTGGAATGCCCAGTGTATAACTGAATAATGGACACAATCTCCCACCTTCACCTTTGATGTTTTTATCTCTTCCAAAGTCGAAGGTTAATTATTCGTCTCATTTCAGATTAAAATGGGTTCAATCCCTGTACATGCCACACATTTCCGATTTTGACGTGCAAAAAAAGTTAAAGAATCCCCCCCAAAAGCCCATTGAATTAGTGGTTGTCACCACAAAATGTGGAAAAAATGGTGAGAAACCTATTGCAAGATAATCTTACTCTACGTGGAAAAATGGCTTCAGGTCTGCAGCACTAAGCACCTCTTTGACTTGCAAACTAGGAAAGCCAGATGGTGCTGTTGCCTTATTCAACACAAGATAGGATCTGATGAGATGCAGAGCAAACACAGCATTGCTTTACTCCAGAATTCCTCCTAGCATTCAGAGAAACTTGTTTTTTTCTGTGTAAATAAAATAAACAAACTATAAAATATCTTATGTCATTAGTCAGCATAAATGGTTCATGCAAGGAAATCTGTGAAATGTTGCAAAACAAGTTAATTAAACTCCAGTAAACAAAGAAATGTGAAGGTTTATCACTAAACACTCCCAAAAAACAAACATTCAGTAAACAATAGGCTTTTAAGCTAAAGAGGAGACTTTTTCCTTGATTGCTTCTGACTAAAGATCATTACTTTTACTCCTTTGCTTGTTTGTTGAATGCATTGTCATTAAAAAAATCAATAAATGAAAGCCTAATGATGCCTTCTGGAGTTTAGTAGAAACTAGTTAATTGGATGCATAGATAAAGATAATCCTCTGATTCGCTTCCTTTTACATGGATATAAAACAACAGAGGACAAAGTAAACCTGAAAACCTCAGATAATAGAACATTTGAATGGATGCCAATTGCCTCAGAAGATTGCCAACCAGATTTCCCACAGTATCCACCCCTGACATGTTTTCTGGGTTTATCCTAAACCAGTGCTGGATGTGCTGTCAGGTCAGGAAGACCTACTAATTATCCATCAGTAAGGCTCAGATGGTATCCATGTATGTTGTGTCATAGTAGCACTGTCACACTGACCGGACAGAGATGGTGCTGGGTTTAAAAAGAAAAGACTCCTGCCTTGATTTTTCCAGGGAAAGTTTAAAAAGAAACTAACTTGGATTTGGTAATTTCCTTAGTTTAAAATAAGGTTTTAAA